ACAGCTGAAAAGTCGTAACAGGCCTTTTTGAACTAATTAGTGCAATAATCGGAATAAGGATGGCAGGATACAAAAAGGCCAAGCCCTGACCTGCATTTCCAATCATGTACTCGAGTATGACAGTCCAACCAATTCCAAATGCGCACAATTCGCCCACACCGACATAGGTGTAGGTGTAAGCGCTGCCAGCTCGAGGATATCTACGAGAATGTGCGGGTCACATCAGAAAAAGAAGCTGTACAGAGAACTGGTCAACCAAAAAACGGTATAAATCTTGATTTCACCAGTGCGGAGCTCACCTCGCACCAAATTCGGCATAGCTGAATGCGGACATCAGGGCGGCGAACCCTGCACAAAGAAATGATATGACGATCGATGGTCCCGTCTGTTTGTGTATTACGGTGCCTGGAATCATTAAGATTTATAAGCATTTCTAATTCAAGTGCTAAGGGAAGATGCCCAAAACGGACTAGCTCGAACCACCTTGGTTTATTGTCGTCGATGACGCCCCCTGCAATACTGTAACCGACTAACTTTCCCCGAGTGGCTTCTCGAGTGGGCTGAGTGTGGAGTGTTTCCCAAGATCGAACACATTTCATTTTGTGAGCGTAGGGAACGGTCCATCCTCCCACGTACTCTCAATCTCAATATTCCACTGAGCCACCGTTTTATCGTTACATTGAAAGGGCCATCACACTTTTGCCTTCCAGCACCCATCCTAGTCATTTATTCTGATTTCACTGTGTTCATAAGGTCGTAAAAAGACCACTTCAGAAGGTTCGTACTTGTTCCTCCTCTGGGCAATGTACTGAATAAGCGCTATGCTGCGAGAGAATAAAGCAAACCGTATCGCAGAAACGAAGGATTTTGGCCTACGCAGGACTATTTCCTGACCACGCTTCTGGTAGAGGTGTGATAAACGCATCCAGTTACACTGTCACGCGTTTTTCAAAAAAAAAAGAAGTCGAAAAAATTAGGAAAGAATTCAAAAAAGCCCAAAGGAACGTACCGGCCAAAACATAAAGGCCTGCGCCAACCATCTGGCCCACGGCTATGAACATCACTTCCACCACTCCCAAACATCTTTTCAGCTGGGAGTCGAGTGCCGATCCACCTTTGAACGTTTTCTTACGAAACAGCTGATCCACAACATAGCTGGCTCTCATCGGATAGCTCCTTCAATATCACAGAATAATTTATTCAGCAATAGTTACGAAGTTGCAAATCAAAACGACGGTCAATAGACTAGTGAGATTTTATTTTATTTTTCAAGAGATAATTCCAAATAAGCCAGGTTGGGTTTACGATCTTTTTTCCCCTTTCTTTGTTTGCTGTTTATTCTTAAATGAACGTCCTGCATTACGCTTCGCTCTATCAATTCGTTTGCATTGTGTTGTGTGTGTTGTTCTATCTGTTTTTGTTGAATGTCTCGCGCGGGGAGTCTCCGTTTCACTGTTCTCAAATAAAATAAATAAAATGTAAATAAAAAAGGATAAAGCATTTGCCGTTGATCAATCCCTTTTTGGGATGCGGCACGCATTCTACTTCCATTTGTACATTCGCAGTGGCGTTTGAATGCGATGTGGCCTATACAATGACTTGCGGGGCCAGCCGATGTCAAGTCAGTGTTTTTATCCTCCCAGACAAGTGGTACCAATTAACCGACCCCGGAGGGATGGAAGGCTTGGTTGGCCCGGGCGACTCACGACCCAGGATTTGATCCCGGACCGCTCGCGTGGTGAGCGCGCCACTTGTCACTGCACCACTATCCCGCCCCGGTTTATAGACTTATAGACATTTTAGACCTTCGAAAGCCAACTTTAAATAGAACTCTACCGAGACAAGAGGTTACGGCGCCATAGACGGCCAATTTTAGGGATCGACGAATTCTCACCCAATCAATTTCAATCGCGCTATATCACGATGATTTAAAGGATTTCGATACTTTTGCACTTTTCAAACGAATACAGGACAGAGAGCCAAAGAGGATTTGTAGCGGATTCGAAGCTGATCACGAGATAAACTCCCATTAACTGTTGTTGATTACTCTATCACCCGCAAGAAAGCCCGTAGATTCTACCTATTCAATGGATGACCATCTACGGCCATCCATTTAACTTCTTTTGTTTGACACTTTAAGTGTCGATACAAAATTGGAAATTTTACAAAGGTCAAAGCTATAAGGCATGAGAAGAAAATGCATGAAACAGTGTCGGTTACGCCAAATAGGCATGGCCGTCTCGAGAGTGTAAAACTGTTTAGAGCAGCGAAGGAAAAAGGAAAGAGAAAGGTGGACACGCGCAGTTTTTCCTCCTTTCTTCTGACCTTTCATGTTGCGAATGGAGTGGTGAGAAATGAACAGAATTCGATTGGAATCAGAAAATTGGTGATCGTACAGCAACTGGAGGCGTCACCTTCCCTCTCCAAGATCCGTGAATCAATTCTTCGCACTAGGAAGGTTTTTCAAGACATGAAGCGCTTTTCCAATATGGTTCTTCGCGTGTTATAGGTGTAAGCGCGTGAAGCATAAAATTGAGGACCATATTCGTCTGAGCAGCTCTGGGAATGCCAAAAATAAGTGAAAAGAGGCTTGTGGTTCGACCCCCGCTGGGGACGAATTTTTGCATCACTCTGATTTCCACCTTTGAATGCTGTGAAGAATAAAAAGTGTGAAGTTTTACTCCTTAGAAGTTTTCTGCCCTTCTTTGGCAACCCAAGTGTCGCTCAGAAAAAAATTATCAACAGTTTTATGCTCCACGCACGCTCCACTACAACATGCAAAGAATCATTTTGAAAAAGCGCCCCACGTCTTGAACGACTTTTCTGGCAAGTGCTTATTAGTGACTTCATGAACATCTTACTCTGACAGCTAGCCGGGGTCAACGAAAACAGCTTGGATAGGACCGAGAAATCGCTGATTCGAGCACCGTTCCATGATAGCAACTCTTGGCACGCTTAGAAACTTAAGTGCTCTGGCCGTGGTAGGATTCAAAACATAGCATACAAAAAGAACGCATTGGTGACACTAGGACTGAACCCAGAAGATTTGAGAAATGCTACGGAG